TTTCCCTAATAGGCTATAGACAGTCTTTACCCTGAAGGCTGTGTGGCTTGTGTTTTGGAGAAAACAAAACTTCAGCTCCATAATTTCTCAGAATTTTTTTTACTCTGAGAGGTGGCATGCTGTGGCAGGATTAGAAACAGCTGAAATTTTTCAAGCTATTATTCCTGTCAGAGTGGCTGTGTCATTAATCTTTGCTGAAACATTTAAAAACAATCAGCACGTAAGAAATGCATTAACTTCTTCCAGTTTCTGTCTCTGACAAAATGACCTTAGATACTTGATCATAGTCAATGCAGTTGGCACAGTCCATTCCACTGCACACTGCACATGTGTGTGCACCACTATATATGCTGATTTTTCTTTTCATTATGCCTGAGTTAGAAGCATGGAGATCCAGGGCTAAGTCATCTCCAGGCGATGTATCAGTTCTCAGTTAGATTTGTACTTCATGACTATAAGCAGGTATAAATTGCCAAGAGCACACTACTTTGGCACACTTTCTGCAGAAGCATTAATCTTATTAGACAACCTGATGATGCAGGGCCTTCTCAGCCTCAGCTTTTCTGCTTGCTTCTGGGAAACCACATACACAAAGCAGAAGGTCAGAGTGTTCACTGTTTTCAGGGAAGTTAATTTCTGGCACGCTATCGCTAACTGGCTCGTGTTTACATTTTTTTTTTATTTTCTGTATTAGACCACCTTCAGCTTGTGGTTCAGACTTCAGTCATTTCTTCCCTACTCTCCCACTTTCCTGAAAGTGTTGTGCATTATTTTTGTCTTTTTCTTTTTTTTAAGGAAGGACTTTATTTCAAATTCTGCCAGGCTGTTTTCATTTTTTAACTTGCTGTGATATGATGGGAAGGTGAAGTGAAACTCATATAGGTGATTGAAGTCTGAAGAACAAATTCAGAAAGGCAGATGTGCCACCTGTGAAGATACCAGGAGTGTATTTCTGCGTGGTGTGCCTCCTTAAGAAATAAATGTATAGATTCTTTCCAGAAATTTAATCCAGAAGCAGATTAGGCAATTGTAGGCTTTGTTTTTACTCCCTACTTTATGAAGTTCATTATCCCACCAGAGACTTACCAAAATTTTTCTATGGCTTAAATTAATTTTTTTTGATGGTCAGAGAGGATTCGACCTTTTGTGTGCTCTGCTGCATGCTGCTGCCTGGCTATCTTTCATAAATTGGAAGGCTATCTGTAACTGAAAAGATAACAGAAATAGTCTCACTATGTTTTCAGGCAAACGTGATAGTCAAGGTGTGACCTAGGAAACTGTAAGTTAGTTTGTTTCTTTGTTCTAATTTAGGTAAATGGAATAGTCATCAGGACTGCTGTATAATGATATTAAAGTAGATTCAATTAGCAGTTATTTAATGCACTCGTTCATGTGTTGGCTTTGTTTATTCTGCCATGCTAGCCTGCTAGGGAATTGTGTGCTCAGTTGAATAGTCTTTCTGTGATGATGCAGGTCATAATTCCTTGTTGAGTATCACTTCAAAAGCTGTATGTGTTGATTAACTTCTCCATTATGACATGTCCTTAGTCTTGGATACTCTGATGAAATGAAATTCTTGGCAAGTTAATGATGCAGAGCAATTTCTCTAAGATACGTAAACTTGTCATTTTAGTAAATTAGAAGTACTCCTGAGAGAAATGTAGCATATAAATGGAAGTTACTTTTCTATGTACACAGAAAAGTGTGTACATAATAATGTTATTGTAATTCCTGCTATTTCATTGGGCCATGTCACTGTTCAAATTATAGACTGACAGTTATTCTTAACATGTTCTTCTGTTGTGTAACAAATAGTGATTGGCTGTATTAGTGTTGTGAAATGGAGAGGAAACTCAAATTGAAAGTGTGAATGAATCCCTGTTGGGGAGGAGGATATCTGAACACATGATGTTGCTGACTAAGCAGCACATTCTGAGACATGTACGATGAGTTTTCAGGCGCGTGTTTCAGGAAAATAATTTATCTTCTCTCTGTGTTATTATGATGACAATATGCTAGACAATACAGGTGCAATGATGTGAGAAGGAAGAGCTGGAAGCACCATGTGGGTTGTAAACTCTCATTTATTTCCACAGCTTTGTGTGACTCGAGTTTCAAACATGCATGGGTTTTCATGTTTTTGCTGTAATCTGTTCTGTGGAATCTCATGATGTCAATTTAAACACTATTCATTTCTTTTTTTTAGTAAGAATATCATATTGGAAAAAAAATACTTAGCACTTTCAGTTTCCTGATCTTTTCAGTTTATCATCTTGGTGTACCTGCTAAGTATAAGAGTCATGAATACTTATCCCATTATGCTAAATGTACTTTTATGTTGAATGTATGGCACATGGCAAGCTGGGTCTATTTGGAGTCTTGTGTGGCTGCAAAATTAGCTTCTAAAAATAGTGTGTTGCTCATTCTCTGGTTTTGACTATGGGTAGGTCTGATGAGAGAGGACAAAGGTTATCAGAGGCTGGACTGATCTCTACAAAAATGTCTGCTTAAGACTAAGCAGTTTTCCTGCTTTGTGATATCTGAGTTAGCAGTGAGCTGCTTTTGCTGATGACTGGGACAGCATTTCTAATCTGGGGAAACCTGGGTTTATTTGTACCAACAAATCTTGTTGCTACAGTTGGTCAGACTTCCATGGCTATCTCAGGCTTGTGGTAGCATCTGACTTGTGTTCCATACTGCCAAGTGTGTAATGTAGACTGCCCTGGAGGACAAACTGAAGTGGCAGCTTTTTGTCACTCTCCCCACAAGCTCAGAGTCTCTAACAGGTTGTTAGGGCTCATATTGTTTAAGTGCAGTAAGATCCCACTCTAATAGGAGTGAACCACTTTCTCCATGAGAAACAGATGAATTGTCCCATACAAAACAAGTCGGATGAAGAGGGCTGCAGAAAATGGCCTTCTGTGTAAGCTGCTCTGCTCTCCCATGGGACAGGCAGCTTTCAGTCCCTCCAGGGGAAATGTGATAAATTCTATTGTGACCTGAACTGACTAGTTTGGTAATGTATTGAAAAGAGAGATTATGTACTAGAAGGTATTCTGTATATTCTGTTCTGGAAAGTGAAGTTTTGTCAACAGTAGGCATTACTGACATATATAATAGGCAATCCTTGATGTGATGATGGGTAGGGCTGTGTTTCAGTTAAAACTGCAGATCCTCAAAACAGTGGGGTTGGACACTGTGTGAGTGTGGAGGAGAATAGATACTTAACTATATAACATAAAATACATGTTGAAAATACATGTTTATGTATACCATGTATTTTTTAATATGGAAAACTACAGTTGGTTAGTTATGTAGCAGCATAATTGGTGAGGTAGAAAAAGCAAACTGAAGAAAAGGCGAATGAGAGAAGAGTTAACTGAGCTGCTGATAGTGCAGGGCCTCATAAGACTGAAACACCTGAAATGTGTGAGCAGGTTTTGGATGTTTAGGTTTGGGCTGTCTCTTCCAGTATGGTTATCAAGACAAGGCTATGTGGGAGGGGTGTGATTGCTCTCCAGAGATAAGACTTAGGAGCCTTCCCAGTGAAAAGTGTCAGACTGCTGGTGTGGAAAGAATGTAGATGGGCAAGTGGTCATGCTTGCTCTGTAAGCTTACATTTCTTCTCATGCGTTCTGTCCTAATACCACCTTCTGCAGAGTGCATTTTTTTTGGACCTTGTGACTTCCTCGTGAAAATGAGGTGTTCAGGTAGCTCTCTAATGTGTTCTCTACTACCACCTTTGAAATATTCCTGTGTAGATCTTCAGTCATTTGCAAGCCTAATGAAATGAACAGTACAATGTAAAGAGAAGGAAAAAAGCTTCTGAAACTTGTTTTTTTATCTCTTCCTTCTGGTGTCGTCATCTGCCTGTTTTAAAAAAAAGAAAAAAAAAAAAAGGCACTAGGACAACACAAAAGAAATGTTTAGACACTGACAAAAAAATAAAAATCAGTAGTGCTTTAAAGCAGACTTTGTATCCTGTGAGTATCTGGCAGTATGCTTTTCACCTTTTTATTTGATGGTAGGTGGCATATGTACAAAAATGTGTGGGCTTTATAGTTGGTGGTTTGGTGTTTGCTTGTTTACTTTTAGCTTCAGAACAGAAAGTTTTCTGATGAGCTCATAAACATTGAAGAAAAGGAAATTAATCTGTGAACCATAGTACTCAGTTGAAAGCATTTCTGTTCACTTGTTGAAAGCACTAGTGTTCAGCATTTCAAGCTGTCAGTTTCTTTTCTCCTTGCATAAAAATACATGCACACATTTTTAAACAAGCCAGTGCTCTTGTTTGTAAAATATACCCCCTGTTTGAGCTCCCGTGCCCAGGGGAGTGATCACTTGCTGATAACCACACCCTGTGGGGCCTTACTGCCTCATTACTTTTTTTCTTTTCCTTTCTGTCTACGGTTTTGTTGAAGAAGACTTAGAGCCACCTTAAAGTTGAAGCAGGGTAGGGGTGCAGAAGGACATTGATTACATTTCATCAGCGTTGAGAGGTACTTGTGACACAGTCTGCATGGCTTTCATGTTGCTGTGAAGCATGTTTTACTACTGAGATTTATGCTACCTAGAATGCTTCCTAGAACATTTACTAATGCTTACATTTTTTTTAAAGAATTATGCATCTAAGAGCATAAATTTTTGTGTTTTTACTTCTTTTGTTGTCAGTTATGGCTAGGATTTAAAAAAGAAATTAAATGTCTGTTGGGTCCTATTATAATCACTTTCATTATGCCTTTATTACTTCCCCAGTGAAATTGGTATGTATACTTACAAAGCTAGGAGGGAAGAGAATCTAAGTCCAGGCCAGGATTTTGAAGTTATTGCTGTGGTAAGGCTTACAGTGATTTTTTTTTTTTTTTTTTTTTTTCATCTTGGCTTCTGCCTTCATGTTTGTGAGTATTTGTAGACAGTAGGAAGAGAATAGACAAAGCCAAATAATTAAAGAAAGAGTAGCTGACTGGCACAGTGAACTAAATTTTTGAAGTATCCCCATTTTAGAAGTCTCCTGGAAGGTTTCAGCCTTCTTTTGACAGCAGGCAGCAGCAGTGTTGCAAGTGGAGGTAAGTGTAATAGAAAGCACACACCTGGGGGAATGTGGAATGTAGAAACAATAAGATACAGATGTCCTGAATTAGCGATCCTGCAGTTTGTTTGTATTCCCCATCTTTTTATTGAACTCCAGGGGATCATGTTACTGAATTTCCGTCATGAAAATCTCAGAACAGATGCTTGATGATAATATTCTTTCACATAAAGCCACTGTTAAAGGAAGTCAGTAGTGCCTACTTATTCAGCATGTGGTCTCATTTATGGCAGGACATGTCTTACAGCTGTGTTCAAGGGCTTGCTTGGGCCATTTCTTACCTTTCCATCTGAAACTCTGTCTTTTGAGACCTGAGGTGATAACGATTGTTCTGATCTTTTGTACCTATAGACCTACAGGAGAAACAGATTCACCAATTTGAAGAGAGAGTGTTAAATGCACCAGTAAAATACTTTGTGTAATTGCTGGTGTCTTAACTGAAGAACGCTTTGTAATGACTGTAATGATTTTGCTTTATTTGCTTCAATGTATTACAAGCATTTTATAGTTTATAATTGCTACTGTAGTTGTGTTTCTTAAATAACCCGTGGTAATGTTAAAAGAGGCCATTATTAACCTGGGATTGTTTGTTCTCCCTGTGCTTAGTCATCATCTGTCTTGTATTAATTTCAACTGGATTTTATTGATGGATTATGTTTTTCAAAGTACTACTTCTTGCTTTTGAGATACAATATAAGTAGTTCGCTCCTTGAAATACAGCAATTCAGCAGCTTCAGATGACCTAGAATATTTATACTTGCACAGCACTTTTGCTGTGCCCCCACTCATATAAAATGTACTGTGCCAGAGTACTCTTAACAGTTTATAGCTCCTTGTATCCTAGTGTGTGACTGGGACCAAGAAGTCAGTCTCTTAATGACAGCTCAGCTCCATGCTCTCCTTTTTTAGCTGCCAGGGGATTCCTTCTAGTATTTGTACTAACTGTGTGCTAACTCTAAGTGTACTGATCAGACCCAGGCTTGTGGGAAGGTGTCTAGCCCCAGCTGGCACAGACGTGCATCATACACGTTAGCATGGCTTTATGCTGACCTTCAACTAGCCATGGAGATAATAAAAAAAACACTGAGGAAAGACCTGATATTGCTACAATGACGAGCTGGTCCAAAACAAACTTTAATAAACAAGGACTTGAGAACATTAAGTACAACTTCCACTCAGTTTTCAGACTGGGTCTAGACTTTGTTTATGTAAGGCTCTGCAAGGGCAATAATGTGCTTTGAGCGAGATTATTAACATCATCCTGTTTTCAGAGGTTTCAGTTTTTGAATAACTGAACTCCTACACCCTCTTCACAGGAGGTCTGTTGATCCTTTGAACTCCATTCTTTTTTTACGCCTGTAAGTTCCCAGGCATCTCAGATATGTAGCTTAGTATTTGCAGCCAAATAAAGTGTGGTGCTTCTCTGTTTATCTAAAGTTTAGATAGCCACTACTTCTCTGGCTGTCTAAAATTTGTCCTCTCTCCTTGAGGACCTGGAAGAATCCAGTTAAGGGAAGAATGTATGGAAGTTTTATGTTTAGAAAATTTGTAATAGTATCCATCTAGCTTAAAAGCAAAATATCTTGGTAATGTAACTGAAGGAGTTAATAATAGGGAAAAAGAGTCAAAGACTCCTCATTGTTTATGGCATGACTACAAAAATAGTTTCAGGAAACATACCTTTTTCTCTTTTTTTCTCATACAAATACTTCTGCAGACAAATTTACAGGCAAAAAAATGGCTGGACCAGTTTAATTAATAAATATTTCATTAGGTATTTTTCTCTCTTCCAATAATTTTTCTATTACTTAATTTTATTCAACTAAGGAAGTTGTGTGTCCAGGGAAAATAGCTGATATTTTGATAGCCATATTTACCTGCTCGTGAACAAACTATATCTCTTTCCTGTGTAATTTTTAATTCAGAATTTGTTTGTACCTGAGGAGGGTCTCAAGAAATAAAAGGCGTGTTCAGTTTGTTGCTGCTGGTGTGGGTGATTTTTCTTCCACCTGTACCTTTCAGTAGCACTTTCACATATTCATTGAAAATACTGTATTTCTCTGCCTTAGTATGTTTAAAAATTATATTTTTACAAACTCCTTTTGTTTCTAATTAAGAAAATGCAATTTCTTAAACAGATTACATAAGTGGGTCACATACACAATTTTATCTGTAGGTAGTAAAATGGAAGTTTGCATCTCATGAAATCAAGGCAGGAAAATTCTGGTCGTATCTTGTGTTTTCCTTCTACTTTGTTTCAGCTGCTTTTGTTATGGACTATCTTAGGTATTCCCAATGTAAATACACCAAATGGGGTAAAGAAGCAACACCCTTTTCATGAGGATGAGAATATTTTTACTGCATCACAGGTAATGCATTCATATGAGAACTCCAACAGAGACGGTAAAAATCTTCAGTGCATAAGAATTAGGGACAGGACAGGACAGGAGTGATTGCTACTCAGTGCCCTGCTGAAATGGAAGCCTGCTAGTTGTCATGATTCTGATGTGGGCAGTTGTCTGTGGAGAGTTGGGGTGGTGAGGAAGGGGTCTTGAGATCAGCATAAGATACATTTGAACAAGGAATTTCACGTTGAAAATTGAAACAAAGGTAAGGAAAACAAATGTCTTCTAAGCCACTAGAGGAAAGTTCAGAAAATGCCCCATTTCATTTAACAGTGGATAAAGTGAATAACTGAGAGCTTCTGAAATTATATTTAACAATTAAAGCAACATTACACAAATACCACCTGCTATAGTGATTGTTTTCTCACTGTGCTGAAAAACTTGGACATCTTTCTGTAAGGGATTAGGAGAGTCTTACGGTTTTGGAGGGAGGAAGAGAAGTGCACAGAGGCAGAATGGCAGTTTTATTTTTGCTTCATGTGGTTTGTGGTTTTTTTTTTTTTTATTTCTCCTCTTGCCTTTTCTGACTTGTGTAATTAATAAGTTAATATTTCCCTCTTCATTTGGCTGTCTTGCAAAGGATGCTGTAGAATGTCTTTCAGAGTGGCTTTTTAAGAAGAACGTAAACAGCTAAATCAAGACTGTTTTGCTTGTTATTAAGGTTTGAGTAGCGGGTGTTATGCAAAGCAATTTAACTTCCAGTACATCATTAATGAGATTGCATTCTATAGGCTCTTATTTGCATCAAGGCACAGATACATCCTTTGATCTTTGAAGGAAATGAGGAGCTGGAAACATCTTTACTGTATTATGTTTTATGCTACTCAATCCAAATTCAATCCTAACTGAAATTTTCGTTGGTTGTGTTTTTTTGGTTTGTGGTGTTTTTTTTTTTTATAATTTAAAAAGCCTATCTGTTGTCTAAGGAGCTAGAGCTTGGGGGACAAATTTAAAAGCTGAGCTACAATCATATTGTATTCATTGGTAACTGGGATAATACTCTTTCGCTGTGAATAAGTAAGCCATTACAGTGAAATACAGAATTATATGATATGGCTGTGTCCTGGAACATTTAAAAACAACAAATACAACAAACTAACCATCAGCAGGTAGCAATCTGAGGAATCACTTTCATATCAGCTGATGGGATTGAGGGATGTTGAGAGTGAGCCATTGAATGGCAATCCATTCACCCTCTCTGTTTCCCACAAGACACACAAGGCTTATTGATGACTTTCTTGATTCTTTTTTTTTTTTTTTTTTTATTAGTTGATATGTATTTGTGTTGTCAGTATCAGGATGAGTACTTAAAAATCTGTGCTATTTGGATATGCTGATACTATCTCTGCCAAGTGAGAGTTGTTTGCAATGCTGGAAGCTGTCTTTGAACATTGTGCGAGGTCCTCTCTGCTAAACTGTGCACAAGACAGCACTGAAGCCAGTACCTACAATTAGAGAGAGAGCTTACAGTGACTACAGTTACCTGAAAACAACCTGAAAATGCCTGTCTGTCACTTAAAGGACCAAACTATGCCCTCTGACACTGCTCTAAGTGGGCCTAAAAGTTCCCTGCTACCAGTAGTGTCCCACAGTAGTCAGCCTCCTAGAATGCAGTATTGATTCACAGCAAATGATGGGCAAATGTGACTTGCTGTGACGGACTGTCCTCTGGCTTTAACATGCTCTTTCCCTCAGGTAAGTAAATCTCTGGTTATTCAAAACCATACAGATTTTTGTGATTAAGTCTGGCTAATTTCCATGAAGCAGATCTGGGGCTTTAATTTCATTACATTTATGGTTAAAAATGATAATGGAACTATTTGACAGTGGTACAGCTGATAGAGTATTTTGAGAGGAGGAGAGTAATGTGACTCATCATTTAATCTCTGGGCTATGGTATCATAGTAGTAACAGTGGGCAAAACATCTTGCTGTGTTTGAAGTTTGCATGAAATTAGAGCATAATCAAATATAGAAGCTGATGGTTTTTCAAGGAGAAATTCTTATTTATATTTTGCAGTACTACCAAAGGAGATGTAATTTGCTACTATGGAAACAAAGGAGAACCAGAACCTGTTTTCCTAAATCCTGGTATGCTTTGTTCAGAAAGGTCTGAGTATTACTTTTTGTTATCTTGAAGTCAGAATGTAGCTCTAATATTGCTCTAGTAATTTAGCTATTTGAAGCATTGTCTTCACTAACTTTTTTTTTCACTCTTTAATAAAAACAAACTGTCCTTAAATTCAGTTATTGTTTACTATTGAATTTCAGTAAAGCATAAGTAGTTTATTAAAAGGCTCTGTTTGTGTCAGTGTAGGTACCTGCAGTGCAGTTAGTGGGATGCTTCTTAGGTAACTATGGCTGAAGGACAGAAGTCTGTCTTGAGGAATGGAATTTCTAAAGGTTCATAGACTTGATGCTGACTCTACTTACTCAGCAGCATCAAGGGCATAATGTGACTATGGTCCCCTAGGGACAGAGATGACTTTCCGGGGGAAAAAAAAAAAAAAAAAAAAAAAAATTACTTGTCTTATTAGGAGGATTGATTTAAAATATTTAAAATCTAGTCCTTTGCTAGTCACCTATATAGAACAACCCTTGAGATTTCATCACCCAAAAAGCCAATTTAAGTGGACAAGGGCATGTAGAAAGCTTTGAGCAGTGTAGCTGGTTGATAAGTGGCTTATTTTGCCTGCTTAGGTTAATGGTCAAAATGTTGCAGCCAGTAGGTAAATAGTTACTGTAGCAATTACAGCATAAACTTTAGGTTTTGTACAGCTACAAGGACAAAAACAGGATTTAATCCAAACATTAAAAAAAAAAAAAAAAAAAAAAATTAAAATCTGTGCTTGTAATGAGAAACTGAATCACAAGTTTTAGGTATTTGCAGACTAGCAAATTACTGTGGTAATCTCTGTACTTATTTGTTTGGATTATGGGGAGAAATACAGGGTACCTCTAAAGAGAAATCTTGTTGTTTTGCAGTGTCAAATGTTGTTTTGCAGTGTTTTTAAAGAGTAAAATCAGAGGCAGAAATAAATTGTGATTACTGTAACTGAAGTAGAAAACACTGGACTGCAGAAATTATATAATTCTGTTGTACCATTTCCATAGTTTAGCAAACCAGAGGTTAAAAGTAACTGCTGCAAATACAGTTTAGAGTAAAACTGTGAATCAAAGTGCTGAATATTAACACAGAGGAATACTTAAGCACCAGCCTAGTGTAAGATGCGTGGCTGCTGTAGTTTCCTGTTCAGGGATGGAGCACGTGTTTTACAGAATAAAGATTGATTATTTTTTTGAATTTAAATTTACAGAATTGCAGTTAAAGATTAGCTGGGGAATCACTTAAATTGTTTTACAATTTGTGAAATCTGTAATGACAACGGCAAATCACCAGAATACACTTCACAGTTAGATAGATTTATTTCTCCTCCAACCCTGAACATTATTTAGTAAGTATGCAGATAGTGCAGCTAGAAGTGGTCCACAGGGACTTGTCCCTAAGCAGTTAATGGTTCATAGAATCATAGAATATGAGGTTGGAAGGGAACTCAAGGATCATGTAGTCCAACCTTCCTTGGCAAAAGCACAGTGAGGTCCTCTGTGCCCTGTTCAGCCGAATCTCAAGTGTCCAATGGTGAGGAATGCACCACTTCCTGTGGAGGTTGTTCCAATGGCTGAGTGTTCCCATTGTGAAAAATTTTCTTCCTCATTACAAATTTCATTAATTTCATGATGTGTAAAGCTTGAAGAGTTGAAGTTGCTTCACAGAAATAAATTCAACAATATCACAATTGTGTGTTATTTGCATTTCAGTTACTTAAGACTAATAGGAACATCAGGGTATTGTGTTCTGGAGGGACAAATAAAAAGGCTCTGATACTTCACCTGATTTCACACCACAGTATACATTGTGTTAATGACAGTACTGAAAATCTCAAGTTCAAGTAACTTTAGTAATTTAAAGCAATGATGCTCTGAAATGGGTGATGATTTAGGTTTTTTGGTTGGTTGGGGTTTTTTTGTATGTTGTTTGGTTTGGGGTTTTTTGTGGATATGTTAGTTTTGTAGGTTTTTTTCTCCCAAATAAAAGTCAGAAGTAGTAGCCCATAAGAGTGATTAAGTGATTGTTATGCTTTTTTGATTTACGCACCCAGCAGACTCAATATCTGAAGGGGTGTTGTATTTACTTATTACATGATACACATTTTTGATACATAGTTTAATGAACTCACTTATTTTTGAAGCAAAATGAAAGCTAGCAATAGAATGAATAAGCAAATTATTTTAAGATATTAAGTTTGCTGGTAGCATTTGGTTTTGTCCCTCAGACTGTGTAAGATGAGATATGTAATGTCTTACATAGTATATAAGTTAATTTTCTTTGCTTCAGAACTTGACAAGTTGTTTAGATTGTTCAGGGGTTTTTTTGTATTTATAGGAATATATGGATTGAGTAATTCTTTGTTGGATACACCGTGGAAGAAACTTCAATATGGGAAGCAGCTTTTCACAGATGTGGTCAAGAGAAGTCAAGACCTTACCAAAGAAGACTTGGTGCAGGAGCTTCTGACAGTGATGAATAATCAAGAGCCGTAAGAACATGATAGCCAGAGTTTACTCAAAGTGTAACAACCAGCTTAAAATTACATAGAGAAACTATTTTGACAGAAAAGAAACTTTAGTCTTGTCTTAATTGACTAAAGCTGGGTAATGAAGGGCAAAAGCAGTGTTCTTTCTCTCCACAGAGACTGACTTTAAACAATGTTGATTTTTAAGCAGCACACACAGTAAACATTATTACTGCAGTCTTAGTACTCATAGACGGTACACTGATTTCTCTGTGCCCTTTTCTTTTAAAGTTTGCACTTCTGTAAGTAAGGGTAATGAGTGCAGTGCAAGACAAGGGATGTGTAATTTGCTTGCTGCAAGCTCTGTGGAGGCTCACTGTAGCATATCATTGTTTACTGTGCAGTAACTTCCATGTTTAGCTTGTTTTTCACCTGTCTAGGGGGTGGTTCGTATTGAAGCAAAGCTGCGTCTGGTATATAGGAGCAGTTTCCTAACTTTATCAGCCAATTTTAGTGTTAACATTCATGTTTGTGGCATTTTGTAGTGGTTCAAAATAAATATTTACATAAGAACTCAGATATACAAGCAATGAGTAGTAATTGGGAAGTCTACTAAGCTGTCTTAATTACTTTTTTCATCTGATACCAGGTCAAGTAACTTTTCAAAAAATTGTTACAACCTACCTCTTACAGGGAGATCTTTCTCCAACACAAAAGGAACTCCTGGAGACTAACTGGAAAAATACTGGTTTATGTGATGTGTTTCAAATTACTTGATCATAAATATTTTAATTCAAACTACAATAAGGACAGATGGGCAAAGAATAACAAGGAAAATTAAAAACTTGTCAAGATAGGAAAAATATTTCTTAAAATGAGGAAAAATGTCAAGAGCTTGAAAGAATCTCTTTTTGGAAAGAGCTTACAAGCTGTTTTACCTTTATTTTTCCTCTTATTTTAGTATTGACCAAAATTCACGCTTTTGTACTTTTGGAAGATTAATTCTTATTTATCATCCACTCAGTCAACACAGCTTGGTTTAAGAGGATTGATTATTAATATTGGAGAATTCAAATTTTAATTACTTTGGTTTTGTTGTTATTGTTGGGGTTTTTTTGTTGTTGTTTCGTTGATATTTGTGGGTTTGTTTTTTTTGTTTTTTTTTTTTTTTTGCTGTTGTTGTTTTTGGTGTGTGGTTTGTTTTTGGTTTTTTTTTCCTAGTCAATTGCCAGACCCTGCAATTGAAGACCAAGGGCAGGATTATATACGTCCTATCCTGAACAAGTATGCAGCTGTATGTGTTCGTTGCCCAGGTTATGGAACAAGGTAAAAAAAATCATAGAAATTGGTGTACTGGGTCAACACATCCCAAATCAAAATTTTGCTGCTTTAAGTTTTGATTCTATAGTGACTGCTTTAAATTTGTTCAGTTATTAAGTATAATTCAATAAAACATTTCCTTGCTCAGTATGCTGGTGTCTTAGATTTGCTACTGGTGAGCATTTTAAGTACAAATTATGGTTTGGCTTTGTGAAGTGTGACATAGCTTCAGTTTGTCCAACATAAGATAATACAGGTCTGGTTCCCCAGTGTAGTAGCAGATCTGACCACCTCTAATTTTGATCTTATCAAAACATGAAAAGCTTTGAAATAATGTTTTTAACAAGAGAAAAACCAAAAAAACACACTTGTGTCCTTCAGTTCTACAGATATACATTTCTCTTCCAAGAGCAAGAAAAGTGTCATCTGCATAGGAAAGTTAGAGCTTTCTTTAGGCATGTTGTTGTAATACAGAGCTGCTGTTTTCAGACATCAAAAACTATTACCCCTGTTCAAAAGAACATGTATTTCCACTTTTCCCCTAGCTGATCTGCTGGTTTTAATGAGATATTCTCACTTTATGCTCAGACAGTTCTACCAAAGCTGCCAGAAGACTAATTTAAGGCATCTTGCGTTTCGTCCTCAGTGAGACAAAATTATAGGTGAACTCTTGTTGCTGCTGGTAGGGAATTCCTACTCTAAAAGTCTGCCAACAGTTTTGTCAGATTGGTCTCTCTGGCATACTCAGCTGTAATATTTTCCACTGTAGAGATGTAAATTGATAAGCAGAGAGCATTCACTTCTGTATTTTAAGTTGATATTCTGAGAGAGAAATCACTGCAAAAACAGTCTCTCTCTAGAAAATTTATTCAAAGAAAACTAAATATGGAATAACGAAGACTTAAAATGTTAAAGAAGCATCTTCTTTACCTTGTTTCACACATTGCAGTCTAGCTATTTCGAAGGAAGCAGGCATAACTCAATAGAAATACTGACCTCTGATTTGGTGAATTAACACTTTGACATCTTCCCTGCTACTTTAATTGTATGCTCATGCTTATCTTTCCTTTATCAGTGTGGCTTAATGAATTGAGATTAATTACACCTCATTATATTTTTCTGATGAAATAAAGCACACTTTTATATGAGTGAACAACTGTGAAATAACCTGGGGGAGGCCATGACATCAGGATAGTGGAAAATTCCTACTTCTGTCAGTTATTTCTCTCTGGCAGGGTACTGCAGTCTGTAGAGAAATGACAGCTTACACATGACAAAGTGGCATAGATGCATGAATGGCATTTGAATTTTGTGAAAACACATTTCCTCTTTGAAAGGTTCCTAGAAAGAAAAGGTTTTTTTTTCTGTGATCATGTATCAGTGTCCTATAATGATAGTTAACACTGTTTAAATCTTAGAGGACAATTGATTTGAGAATAAAGAATGGAAGAGTACTATTGCTATCAATAACCCTTCAGGATATGTTTAGACTGTGAAGAAAAACTTGATTTTTTGCTATTTTATCCATTTTCTGAATGGAACATGTGGCACAAAAAAAGTTTAACCTTTTTATTGTACTCTGCATGTGCAGCAGGGAATCAGAGCAGTGGAGTGATAAAGAAGGGACTGAAAAATCCCTGTTTGAACTTGCCAGGATGATTTCTACCCTGCTAGTGTGGTGATGATGCAGTCAAGGGAAAAAAAAATGAGCTCAGACCTTTGGCGCTGAGGGCTAGGACCCTGCAGGTTCCTATAGCAGACACAAGGCTCAACTGCCTGCCCTGCTGTCGTTCCAGGACCAACACGGTCGTGCTCATCGACGCGGAGGGCCGGGTGACTTTCACAGAGCGCAACATGGTCGATGCAGATGTCAACCAGTGGAAAACGAGCACCTATGAATTCAAACTGCACACTTAGCTTCCCAGCCGATAGGTTCCCAATCATAGCAACGAGAGCACAAGCCATTAAGCTCTACTAAATGTTTTGTGCCAGCCTCCACAAGCTAAAAATAGCAAGGAAAGCACAAGTGTAAATACTGGTAGCATACCCTATCAGGCTCACAAATCTTTTGGATAAAACCAAAAGAAGAAACTGTTTTTACATGAAGTAGCAACTTATTTATGCATTCATTTCTTATTACAATGCCCTGCCTCCAGGGCAAGGCTATCTTTGCCCAAGACAAAGTCATGGGGTTTTTTGTGGATTTTTTTTGTTTGTTTCTGAGCTTTTTTTCTTTAAGATGCTTTAAGTAGACTCTTAAACATGTATCAGTTGGGAGAACGAGAAATATTTGCTGCTTTTATTGTTCCATCTGAAAGTTTTACCAAACATTGCTTTTCCTTCAGCATATGCTTTCAAGATTGTATAGCTGATGCCAATGGGCATTAAGTGAATGTTAACTTTGTAACATTAAGTGCTTTAGTAACATTTAAAATTTTGAGCAGTGCCCTGCCTCTGTGCAGTGTTCTGCCTGGGGAGGGCAGAGGAGGGGGCATTCTTTACATTTGTTTTCCTATAGATATAGCAATATAACTTCTTTCTATAACTTGATTTGAGAGTAGATGGGAAATTTAGTTCTGTCACTTTTCAGTTTTACTGAAGAAGTCATGGGGGCAGACTTGCTTATCTTTGACCAGAATAAAATTATTTGTGTTGTGACATCTTGTTTCCTGATAGTCTAATTACTAATGTTGGGGGTTTTTATGTTCTTTCCCAGCAGTCAGGTAAGGAATAGGTGTCTGTTTTGCTACTAGAAGTTGAATATAAAGTTTACATATATCAGCCATTTGTACATATGCAATTTTGGCTTCATTTCTTTATTGCTATAATATGTTAAAGCCTGTAGTGACTGCTCATAGATTTTTTAGTACCAATGGTTATTTGTAGTAAGGTGACATTATTGCAGTCTTATATTTCTGAGAAAGTTTGGTATTAAGATGCACTTTGTATGTTCTAACATCTGTGAATTAAAAAGCTATTTAAATGCATGTTTTTTTCAATTATTCAGTGCCAGTGAAAGAAGAGATTCTAGCTAATATCAAGATATTTTAAAACCCTGACTTATTTTGCTGCTATTTGTGCTCTGACTTAATATTCAGCATTCAAAGTAAGTTAGTAATGGATCAATGGTATATTTTTCTCTGTACATGCTGAATGTATTCTTGTAAGCCTCTGATTATTAATTTCAAGGTAGCAAGATTTCTGATACTCATCACAAAGATGTGCAGTTACTCTTCTGTACTCGAGCTTGTGTGTTCAGGTGTTCTAATGTGTGTTTGTAATGGAAGCAGCAATAAATTAAAGTTGCCATCAAGGTCAATTACTGTGAGAGGCCATTCTCAGATGTCTAATAGTCAGGAGATGCTAAAGCAGCATTTAGTCAATTATTTCCTTTATATCTGCATATTTAAATACTTTCTAGATACCAGGACTGCTTGCATGACTGGTCACAAGCTGTTGATTCAATACTATGTAAATAACTTTTTGACCACCTTGATTGCAAGATGATCAGTACAGTCTGGTTGAGTTGTACGTGGTTTCAAACTTGGAGCATTCCAGACTGTCTTTTGAAGCCATGGAGGATGATTAGCCCTTTTTTATTTTTTGATGACTGTTTAAACCATAGATTTGTATGAATAAAAAATTGTTATGTTTAAATGCAAAGAAATAGCCATAGCTGTCTTAAATTTCTATTTGACAAATGCATATTTAAAAACAAAACTCTACTTCAGTGTCTTGCTCTTAGTAAGAGTCTGCATAGCAAACTTCTTTTATACACTGGCCACTTTTTTCTTAAGATAGATTTGAACAAGAGAGTCCCTTTGAAGAGATGACCTAAGTGAGAAGCAAGATGTTTGTATGCCACTTCACACTGAAAGCATTTATTTGCCTTAGCTTTTGTAGTAGTTCTGTAATGAAAATTTATTCTTAATTTTTACACATAAGCAAAAGAAAAGCAAGTCAGGGCTCAGGTGTAAAAACAAATTAGAATAATGTATTTTGCTTTTGAATATTTCATTCCCAGATTTAGAATTTTTAAACAGGGAATAAAATAAACAGTAACAAAAACTCATGTTATCTTTTACCTTGTCAGAATTGTATATAAAAAGAGCTTTTTTACCTCTATTTTGAAGTGATGAGAGTTTTGTCATTGGCTTCAGTGGAAACCAAGATCAGGACTGCAATGCAGATATCAACAAAATGGTGCTTGTCCATAGGATTGATCAGGTATTAGTGAAATACATAATTTATAGTGTGTAAATTATAGTTGCAATGACAACTAAACTGTAGCTAAATTTAATAGAGTATTTTATTTTTAGAAACTTTTTTAAAAATCAAAAGGGGACTTTAAATACTCGTTTTAAAGGCTGTAAAGGAAAAAAGTGTATATAGGAAAGCACACTGCATGGCATTTTACTGAGTTTGTTTATATATAACATCTTTTCCAAGTCATAAATTTGCAAGATATTTTTGTTTCTTGTCTTTTTTATATCAAAGTGGTAGCAGAAAACATTTTAAAATATCTGTAAAAACAATTATATTTTTGGCTTGAAATTGTTTTGTAACTGTTTATGTGTGTGTTCAAAACTAAGATCAGAATAAAGTCCAACTGGTGACCACTCTTTGTCAACATTAATAGATTGTGCATTTTTGCACATATGTTTATGTTAACTTGTCTGTAATGTGTGATAAGATGAAGTAAAATCTTTCATTAGCCATGAAAGAGCTTTAAGGTAAGTCCATTTCTGGTAATTTATTTCTTTTTAAAAGAGTTGTATTTTGCTGGGGATTTTGTTTGGTTTCTGTTGTGTGGTTTATTTTATTGTAATTCTGTGCTGTTGCATAATTATACTTGTCATATCCAGGTAAGAAATTGAAAAGTTATTTCTTTAAAGCTAATAATCCAGATTTGGGATGCTTTTCTTTGTTTTTCAGGGAAGTAAACAGAATGTACTGGTTGGAATGTTCTGAGACAGAAATCTCAGAGTAATCAATTCTCTGAAATGCTCTCTAACTTCTGACAGCCAGTAAATGCCCATCACCTCCCCCCTGCCCCCTAAAAATCAAGTGTCCTCTTGTTACTAGCCCTGACTGGGTTTCACTCCAAGCACAGCAAGATCAGGTAGAAAACACAGAGTTTCTCAGACACTGGATGGCTGAAACAATGTCTGGAGCATCTCTGTTACTGCCATGACATAAGGGTACCTACAATCTGCCTTCTTCCTTCCAGACTGGAGTAGATCCTTCAAATCTTAATACCAGAACTTGCCAAGCAAGCCCCTAAGGGAAGAGGGACCAGCATATTCGTGCCTATGAAACGTGGTGGAGCCATCTCAGAGCTAGTTATAACTTTACAAACAGTGACCTTTTCAAACTGCTGTTCACTTTGAGAAGACAAGCAACTGATACTGTCATCATTAAGGTGACAACCCAAATGAAATCTAGGGCAATTCCCAAAATCTGCAAAAAGAAAAGGTTTATGAACTCATGAGCCTCTAAAGTTACCACTACCAATTGCCTATACAACAAGATATATTTGGTCTGGATTACTGGTCTTGAAATTAGCTGGTTACATCAAATGGTTGTGGCAAGAGAAGTTATTAATTGTCAGGGACTTTGAAAATTACTATAATGATAAATGTATTAAAAGTACTTTGAGGAGTTCAGGTTCCCTCATAAAACGGAAATGACTGAAATTGAAAAATTAAAAAATTGAAATAATCACAGCAGAGATACAGTATAGATAATAGGAAGGAAAGAGCAAAACCAGTGCTTCCTTGGTGAAAAGTCAGAGCCTCACAAAATGCTACTGAAGAGCAAGAATCCAGGCTGACTGTGGGAAAAGTTTGGATCCTGGGCAAACCTGAGACTCTTTTGTTACACTAAGTTGAAACTACCTTAATGTTCTGCCATACCTGGGCATTGCGACAAAGATGCAATTGTGTCCTCTCCCTCTTACCAGAGACCTTTGGAAGTCCTCAGTATGTTCAAAGCTTAAGTGATATTTATTGTTACAAATGAAATATACCCAAGTAAATATTAAGACAAAATATTGGTAAGACTTAGAACACTGTTTTCATAATATTGTAAGGAAATCAGTAGTTTCAGATAAACCAATGAAATACTAAGCAGTCATAAGGTAATAATTAAAGCATCTTACCTTTCAAATTTAGCTTGAAGAACTTCATGCAAACTTAAGGCTTAGCAAGCATCCCTATTTATATGGAATATCAGCTAGTAGGAATTAGGTTTATATAATTTAAATTCAGAATGTTGCTAATGTTCTTCATCTGATTCATTTTCTGAAGAGAAGTCTTGTTGATAGCTTCTGAGGATTTAGGAAATGGTCTTGACTTGGTGAAATGGAATCTGTATTACAGTGAACTGGGAAGGCAATAGAATCAACTGTGAGAATTACGTAGCCCCTCACTATGACTTATGCTGTGAAATATAAGTTAAGGTGAACAGAGTGAAGAAAATGTTGAATATATAAAATGAATATCTAAGGTCACTGGAACATCCTGTATCAAGAACTTAGAAACTGAATGAAAAAGCAGGAGCAGATTTAAGTACTCAAATTTACCGTATCTTTTAAAACAGAAGGCATGAGGACTGAACTTAGGATTGTATATGAGGGAGAAAAATCATAACGAATGTAAACTTCTATATTAAGTAGGATAGGCAAGAACTGGCATCTAAGTCATACATAACATGTATAAGGAAAAAATTTCTCTGCAGATTCACATTACATTTTTGTCTTTGTACTGGAAAGATAAATGGAGAAAAACATGCAAACTAAATGCAGATCAGAAGTTGTAGAAATGAAGTGGAGAAGACCATACCTCATTTAGCAAAGAACATATGCAATGAATAAAACCCATTAAGCTGAAATATATGTTCTGAAGCTCATTTGCAAAAACTTGAATGGAAAAGATCTTTTTTTTACGGGTAGACAAAGATTGACAGTGTAGCTTTAAGATATCCAGGCTACATC